AGAATTTTTTCCTGGAGTTCCCCATATCCAGGCCAGACCTCAAACTGAAGTCTGTGTTGAATTCCCGATTCCTGGAGACTTCAGGCGAAAACTGGAGGGTTGGCAACACTAGCTCTTGGCGACTCATATGCTGTGCTCATTAACAAATTGACCATTGGCAATATTAAAAAGTCTAATTATTTATATCTATTATTCACTATAGAGAAGCATGGGCTGCAACCGTATGATGTGTTCAAGGTGTAATCACGAGTTTTGTTATCAATGTATGGCTCGATGGCCGGGTTACCATCACAGATGTGCCTGATTAATATAATATGAATGAGACTCGAAGTGATCCATCTATTAATACAAATATAAGATTATGATTTAAACGCTAATCCATTGTGAACTAGGTAAATAATAATGTATGAGTTAAGTTTAAACAATTTTTTGATTTTCAAAACAATAAACAAATAATTTAACTTGTTAAATTATAAATAAACATTATGCTATAAACTACAAGTATTGTAACAAGTATTAATTACTTTGTATAATGATTTTAAATTATATTTTCTCAATTTTTTTCAAATAATAATAAATATAATTAAAAATTAATTTTTTAATTTATTATTTATATATATGAACAGTTGTGTGTTAATGTACATTAGTTTACTGGTGGACTATCTCTATGTTTAGACCTACAGACATTGAATAACTGTACAAGATAAATTCTACACATTAATTTCATTATTAGTTTATTAGCAATTTAACTTATTATATAAATCACCAATCACCAGAGTAAAAACCGAGTAGTACAAGTTGTGATACAGTTTGCAATTGTAGGTCCCGTGTAGGCACCGCATGCGATCACGCAATCAACTTTAAATTTGCTAAATTCAATAAATCCTGACACAGCCAGACCAATTAGGCAACACCAGGTATAGTAATTGGACTTTGAAGACCCTGGAATGTATGGGGGCACTTTACAGCATCATTATTATAATTGACATGCACATTTAAACTTACGTGTTTAGCGACGACTAACAATAAAATTAATTTAACAAAATCAGCAAAAGTAACAAGGAGATTTTCATTCACCTTAACAATTAGTAATTGAGCACTGGCTCTAAATGTTGAGTTTATTTGTGGGAGGTGAGTTACGGACATAATCCAGATTGGTATTGTATATTTATATAAATAATAAATGAATGTTAAATATATGCTAACAAGTGAAATTATGCGAGTATTTTGTTACATAAACAGTAAAATATGTTATTTATATTTTATTTTAGTATATTAGTAATGATTGCAAAAGTTTTATTTCATCCATATCAAGCTTGCAATCATACACATTAATTCACATAGATAATTTGAATTTCACTTAAACCATAGTCCAAAAATACTGGTACAAATTTATTTTCCATGTTATGGGCAAAATGTTGGAGTCTAATAGTGTTATAGTACTGATAGATAACATTTATTAGATATTAGATAAAATAACTATTAAAATATGCAAGCACAAGTATATTTTAGAAATTTATTTAATAATTAATTCAAATTAAATCTATTTAATAAAAATTTATTCTAATACAATTTAATTAAGTTCACATTATAAATAATTAATTAAATGTTATGTAGTATTGAAAGTTTTAGTTACAAATAAATATATTAATCAACTTGGAAATCAAACAAAGTGCACCTTGTATAATGCTTCTCAAGGTCACTTTTAGATTTAATTTTGTGCATGCACAGCCAACAAAATTCCATTTTGCACCTTGTGCATGTCATGTGATTGCAGCCTGTTGTATCTTGCTAATTTTTATAAAAATTTTCAATATATTAATAAAACTATCATTACAAATTAAACAATTTAATATTTTACCTCGATATAATTACTGCACCCAGGACATTTTTTACAGGAATTCTTAATCAGCTGTTCAGAGGCCTTATCGTCCTTTCTCCTTTGTTCCCGTCTCCTTTTACTTTCCAACTCCCGGGCCTCCCGTTCCCGTCTCTCTCTTTCCAATCTCTCATTTTCCATTAGCTGACGTTCCCTTTCCAGTCGATCCCTTTCCCGTATCTCCTCTTCCCTTATGGCCCGTTCCCTATCGATCCGATCTTTTTCAATACGATCCCTTTCTGCTCTCTCCTGTTCCCTAACCTCCCTTTCCTGTCGTTCCCTTTCCAGGCGATCTCTTTCCCGTCTCTCCTGTTCCCTTATAGCCCGTTCTTTATCGATAAGATCCCTTTCCACTCTCTCCCGTTCCCGTGCCACCCGTTCATGTCGTTCCATCTCTAATATCTCCCGTTCCCGAACCGCCCTTTCCTCTCGTATCCTTCGCTGTGAGCTTACGTTTTCAAGTCTAGCCTCCATTTCCCTAACAATTGGGTGCGTGTTAAGTGCGGGGCTGGTAGTCCGGTGGCAGTCCTGTCCCCCGTGATAGGCGTTCCCACAACTCGTACAGAAAGCGTAATCACATGGGGAACAGTAGGCAAATCCGATATCCGGGTAGAGTTCAACAGTGCGCTCGCATTTCACACAAGTATCCTAATAAATAATTTAAGTTATAAGTTATATGTTCAGGGTACAATTAATACATACCAGTCCATTTTCAGAATTTGTGGAAACGTCCTCGATAAAATTTGGTCTGAAATTTAATTGAATACATGCTTAAATTAATTATTTCATTAATTAATAAGAATTAAGTAATACAGTATAAAAATTTATGTAAAATTGTTAATATACTTAAACATTAACGTCTATCTGAAAGTATTAAAATTACCTTGCACTCATATTTTCAGACCTTTCATGGCCTACTGTCATTTGCTCTATTACTCGCTTAAATGGATCAGGTTCATGTATATGTGGTTGAGCTTGAATATTTTCAGAATATTCAACTAGAACAATTATATATAATATATAGGTGTTTTTAATTTTGTAAAATAGAATTTTTAGGAATTTAATATTTTACATGGGATTCTTGCACGTTGCTTAGTTTTACTATAATAAAAAAATTTTATTTTAAATTTAGCGAGGTTATTAAATAAAACGTATTTACGTTCTCCGTATGCTGTTGTAAAACTGTTGATTGAATATTCCAGTGAATTCATCTAGAGCAATTAGCCTTATATTAAATTTTAATACTTTTAAAAATATAATCATTTTCTAACCCTGCTCAATTGTTTGTTGGTTAGCTTGTGGTGCATTGATTTGCAATTTAGTCTCTCTATACAAAATAAATAAAAGTTTTAATTAATTTAATATGATAATATTTTTGATTATAAAATTAGTAGTTTACAATTCAGTATCCAATGTTCTATTAATGAAACTTGAAAAATCTATAATAAATTCATTGAATTGATAATCATTATAAATATTTCAAATATTCACGAGTATCAGTATTTTTAAAACAACCATCATGTTCATCATTTTCATCAGGCACACCTTGAGTATTTTCAATAATAACAAATTCTTGATTCAATGTATCATCTATTGAAGTGCCTATAATAAAAATAACATACTTTAAATTCATACTTTATGAATGACCCATTAATAATAAAAGATTTAAATTTAAAATTTATATTAAATTCATACTAGGAACTTGATCTTGCTGATCATCATTGGCAATAGGTGTTGTTTGTGGTATTTGATTACCATGTTCACTATTAAATGAAATGTCCCCGGTGGTGATCCCTGAGTCATCATTAGATTGATCAAGCAAACTTCTCGCTATAGCCTCCTTAAGATCACGTTTCTCTTTAGTGTCTATAAATTAACAAGATAAAATATATTTATAATTATTCTCATTAGACTATATTACACTAGTCGCTATTTTAATATAAATATATTATAATTATTTATAAATTTTTTAATTATATTTAAGTTTAATTAAAAATATCATACTTACTAGCTAATATACTTTCTAATCTATCCAGACAAAATAAAGCCTCTGCCTTTTGTTCAGGATCAATTTCATAGTCATTATCTGAACCTGGGTCATTATTTGAGTCGGACATAATTATATTATTATTTTATTTTTAATAATTTTATCAATACAACATTAACAATGTAAATTAGGTTTATTATCACACACTTTATTAAAGGTGGTTGTAAACACACTACTACTAGCTAGTACACAATTAACGTAACAATAATAATATAGTTTAGTAATATTATTGTTTAGTTAAATTTAAAGACTATTAAAAAATTAAAATTATTGTGTATCTATATAAAAATTGATAAAATATTATTATTAAATGCAGCTTATTTGATTTAAAATAAACATTTAAATGACTAAATTCTTAAATATTTATAAATATAGACTTTGTACATCAAGCGAAATAATTTCAAACTATTTTGCTTTATGTAAAAGTGATTTATAAAATTTTATTACACAATTCACAGTAATATTAAATATGATATTTTTATTTGCAAAGATAATTGTGAATTTCAATTGCAATCCGAGTCTAGAGATAATATTTGTATTTTATCTACTTGTATTAATATAAAACATTTTTATCATATTTTTAAATTTATATGTATTACTCATATGAGTCATATATAAATACAATCATGTTAGGGTATAATGAACAATAAAATATAACATAGTATTTTCAACGAAGTATAATTTATATGTTAAATATTCACTATTTATTGATGATACAAAAATTAAAAGTTAGGGTAACAAGCAAAAATTAATTTAATTTTAAATATATAAATTCTTGTTTGCAAAAAATAACTCCATCATTTGATAAAATTATTATGATTAAAATGGTTTCACTTATATTCATAATAATCAGTATTAATAATCATAATAAGTTTTATTATCATGCAATATATTAATTCATGTACAGTATAATGCACTATATTTTATATTAAATGTTTATATGAATATGATACTATATGTTACTAAGATCATTGTTGCTATGCTTAATTACAAGCTAAATTAACTTTTCAATAAATTATTTACTAACAAATCATTACTAAGTGACTCATAATTTATATCAAATTTAATAATATTGCATACGACACAATTTCTTGTAAACAAAGTGAAATAATTTATGTTTATGAATAATATTTATTAATAGTTTAAAATATACAAATTCTTATAGCGATAGTAGTTTGTAGAAATTTATTTCATACATATTCACTAGTAGTATACTCGCAATCTAATATTATTAATATAACGGTTTGATTAGTATCGCAAAATATAACTGATTATTTAAAATATATTAATATTAATTAAATAATTAATATAATTTTAATAAAAGCTATATACAATTTTAAAATCTGGCTACAATTTTCAACACAGTTTAATATTTAACCCGGGTATAATGAGTGGCAAAAAGAATAATGAAAATATTTATATAAAAGGTAATGAGTAATTTTATATAATTTTATAAATCACACTATTTGCTAATTGCCTTGTTTTGTTTACTAGATTATGAAAATTTGTTTAACAAACTGTTTAAAGAATCAGTGTAAGTTTTATTAATTTTATATTAACCAAGACATTTTTATATGTAAAATGTAAACCTATTTAAGGGGTCGTTTAATAAGTACGTACACAAAGTGTTAATAAAATAAATAATCCCTTTATTTATATTATATTGTAGCAAAGTGTAAAAAACTATTATGTAAAAAGTGTAATTAATGGGTATTGCCTACCAGTCCCCTCTCCTTAGACTTCTAGACTTTTCTTTGTTAGCATAATACATAAAATAAACAGATTATGTCATAGGGGGGACAGTTAGGCGAGTGGTGGCAATGTGTTAACATGCAATGCAAGTACAGTATGATAGACCGGCCTGAGCTATGCTATATTGTAATGTAAACTATAAGTACTTATAAGTTTTGAAATAATAAAATATTTTTGTAAAAGACTGTGACTTTTTATTGAATAAGCAAGTTAAACTAAACGAATTAAGCAAGTTACAAAACTATTAGTGCATAAACAATTATTTTATATACCAACTTGCTTACAATATACACATACTTAAATTGAACCTAAAATATTATATTTATTAATTGTAACATTTATTTTAGCAAGTTAATTTTTTAATTATAATACAGAAAGAAAAATATAAATCCTAAAACTTCAAAACCAAAAATAAGTCCAACAGGTAACATTGATCATAATAAATATTAGAAATATTTACAATATTTGGTAATTTAGGACCAGGATCATTTCAATATGATACCCCAATGTACGTCCGAACATACGGTTTGGATGAGCATGTGCCGGGTAGTTTTAAAACCCAGGCAATTGAACATTGCGTACCCTATTATAGTGAGCGTGATGTAGCGTACGGCGTTACCGATAATAGGAAATCTGTGCATGGTAAAACATACGCAGATACTGTTAATGTTCAGGCTATTCGGGAACGGGTGGACAGGGAGGATCGGGCACGTTATGAACAGGCACTACAAGAAGCTAAAAGGGAGAAAGCTAATCAAAGTAATTATGTCTAGATAATTCTTACTACAATATTTATATTAGATTTTTATAATTTGTAAAATCATTTAATAAATATTAGTACATTTGCAGTATTATACTTAATCTAGCACACTTTTCCTCAGTCTTACCGTATATTATTATTTAAAATTATTAATGATTAATTTACAATAATTAATGAATATTTATCTTAGGACCAATACCAAAACCAGATTATAATAGCGTGAATGAGCAAGGAACCTATGATCCACAATTGGAGCAAGCTTTGCAAATGAGCAAGATTCAAAGCAAGTGGGATAGCAAAAGTATGTTAAAATGGAAAACCTAGAACCTCTTAAGTTATATATTTAGCGTACACAACTAAAATAAAAATGATCTATCACAATTATAACAGGGAGGTTAGAAACGGAATGGCAAACAAAGAATAAACTCAAAGAAACTGCTAAAACCGAACTTCAAGAAAAACTGTACCGGATAGTTTCCACCGAACTATACACACCGGAAAAATTAATGGAAATAAAAAGGGCGCTTGGTGAATACGAAACCACAACTGGCACTACCATATTCGATACGTGCCAGATAAGTGATCTGCACCATAAGGACCTGAACGATACATCTAGGTTAGTATTATATGTGGCCAAGGTTACCGAGTATTCGGTAAACAAAATACCCTGGAACAATTTGTTCGAGTTTTTTGGCGATCACATTGCTCGACTCAAAACTGAATTGGCAAATAAAACAACATTGATGACATATAATTCCGAAATTCACATGACTGATTCAGAATCGTCATTTGTGCATGATGCTCTAGAGGGGGAGCTAGTTTGCACCCATATCCGTGGGGACGGTAACTGTTTGTGGAACTCCATTAGTACCGCCCTCTATGGGGACTATTCACGTATGGAGTCGTTGAGGGTTATCACTGCTACCACATTGATAAAACACCAAGGTGTTTTTGAAAAGTACATGGATGAGCAGCGAGTCAAGTATGGCTATAATCATGAACTCTCATTTGAAGGGTTAGTGCGGGCGGCTGTGGATTTGCAGGTAGACTCACCAGTTGTTAAAGGAATTTCTGTTAATTAAATTAATAATATAAACCTTGGTAACTTTTTCAGGTTTGGGGCGATGAGCTACATGTAATGGCCCTATCATTAGCATTGCATCGACCTATATATAGCTACGGGTCTTTACGGTTAGCGTTTGACACAAAGTCGCCGAAACATTACGAAGAGCTTAAGGAGGCCTATGAACGACAAACAATTCAAAACCATTTCCGGTATATCGCCGATGAGAACAATATCGGCGCCCAACCCATACTACTCTACTATAACGGTAGGGATCACTACAGTGTGGTGTTGCCGGTTAGGGATGATGTGGTGGCACTCGTACCACAAATGCAATTATTAGAGCCTATATTTAAACGTAGAGCTGATGATCAAGGTAATTTTTAACAATCTAGTAATATAAATGTTATCAGAAATTTTTTATTGATGCTAAATATAAAATTCAATCATGTTTATTTTTAAGATTGAATTTTATTATTACAGATTTAATTGTACTTGATGAACCAAAGAATGACAAAAGCGACCCAGACGATAATTTGAATAATAATGAAATTACTGAATCTGAGATTCCTGTTAAAACAACATTGACGTTGAATAAACAGGAACAATCTATTGAACCAAAATTAAACAACCCTGGAAATAAAGAAAACCAAGATAAAATGATTGATTTAATGAAACGCGAGTTTGATAAGCAAATCAACGAGCTAACTCAAAAAATGAGCACGCTTAACGCTCATATTATTAAAGTCAATAGCGAAAATAGTCGCTTTAATGAGCATGTACGTTTATTGAGCGACAAGTGTAGTCAATTGCAACGAGACAAATTAACCTGGACAAAAGAGAAGGAAACGTACCAGGATGAAAATAGAAAATTATTTAACCGTATGTTGGACTTGGATTATCAACTTAAACAATGTATGGAAGGTGAATTACCTGGCTCATATACCGCTGTTAACAATGGGGGTTTGAATGCGAATGATGTGCCAATAAATGGTCTTGGTATAAATGGTCACAACGGTAATATTTCTAAATCAATAAACCCTGATAATATTTGTTGGGTAACCCAACCGAACCCAACTTGGGTTCGCGGAATTGACAATGGAGTTAAGGGTGTCAATTATCCTAGATCATTTGTTAATCCACCACCTGGCATGTCAGGCAACGTTTACCCGCATAACAATCATACGTATATAAAACAGATTAATACTGAAAATGTGCTTGATAAAAATAATGATAAAATTCAGGCGCCAGAACCAATGCAAACTGATATGTAATTGCGTTAAATGTTCATTGATACAATTTGAAAAATAAAATTGTACTACAATTTAATGATTCTTTAAATATAATATCAACTTAAATATACTTTACAATATTAACGTTTAAATTAATATATAAATATATAATCTAATTCACTTTATAAATACTGTTTTTATAAATTAAATATGATTTTTGTTATTTAATAAATTATAAAATTTATAGTATATTGTTATTATTAATAATACCTAACTATAATAGATATGAATATTTTTAACTATAAAGATATATATTCTGTACTTTTTATAATATATATTTAATGTAATAGTTTCTATAATGATTTTGTATTCAAATTAGCAACTTAAATAAAATATCATAAAATAAAATATTAAAAATTTTCTATAATATATTATATTAGCTTAACTTAAAAATAAATATAATTTTAAAATAATTATAGCTTAATATACAGTACAAATACTGTACAATTAATATAAATATATTTTGAATAATAATAATAATTCATTACTAGTATAATTGGTAAATAAATTGCTATCTATTAATACTATTACGTAAAATCATATCTTAAACGTTTTTTGTTAAATTCATAAACAGTAAGATAATAAAATTTTATAAATCCTTTTATTATTAACTTTGATAAATGAATGAAATTACTGATAATGACAGTAAAAGTGAATATTATAATATAATATTCTTGTGCAATATAAAGTTTGCACTAGTGTAATATAACGGGATATTGTGTCTAAATTTAGTAATATTTGAGTTAATACTTTTTATTTAAAATGATAAATTAGTGTACTAGGCTGGATTGCTAATAATAAGTGGTCTGACTTTGTATATTATTTCATGTTTATATGAAATTACAATTAGTTTAAATTTGAGAATATGAGAAGCAATAAGTATTTCACTTTGTAATTATAAATATAATAAATAGTTGTTTTTAATGATTTTATATATCGATATTACAAAGGTCATTTTTGAATTTCAATATTGTTTATACTAAATAAGTATATTATTATGTATAATATAATATGATAAAAATTGTTATTAGTCATTGCATAACTATTTAATATAATGCTAGTTTTTGATATGATTATGTTACACATTATCTAATGGAAATGTAATACTAGTTTATATTAGTCGAATATTATGGGTAATTTTGCAATAGCATTTTATTAAATAAATATTCATTATACTTAGCTAGTTAGAATAACTACCGGTAATGTTAATGATTAAATTATATTGATGTTTTTTAAAACTGTAATAACGTTTTCATTCTAAAATTTTAGATTAATATTTATAACAGTATCGTAAAATTTTTATAAAATAAAATGGCCACAAGTAATAAGACCAAGGATCAAATAGCGGATTTGATACGCAAGTTAATTGATGAAAAAGTACAGAAATACGCGGATAGTGGCCTGGATGAGCACGATCTTCGTGATATTGTAAGGGCCGAGGTGAACGCAGAGCTTAAAGAAAATGGCCTTTTATTTAACCCTGGCAATCCATCGCCTGCAAAGTAA